ACATGACATTAGAATGGGGACTGCCAGAAAGAGAAGAATGTGCATATATATATAGCAGGAGAGCATATATATATATATATATGTATGTATGTATGTATGTATGTATGTATGTATGTATGTATGTATGTATGTATGTATGTATGTATGTATGTATAAAAATATGTAAAGTATGTATGTATGTATATGTATGTATGTATGTGTGTATGTATGCAAGTGTATGTATGTATGTATGTATGTATGTATGTATGTATGTATGTATGTATGTATGTATGTATGTATGTATGTATGTATGTATGTGTATGTGTATGTATGTATGTATGTATGTATGTATGTATGTATGTATGTGTATATATATATATATATATATATAGAGAGATATATATATATATATATATATATATATATATATATATATATATATATATATATATATATATATATATATATATATATATATATAGAGAGTAAAAAAGGATAATCATAGTGAAAGAAGAAACACGCTATTTGCCATATATATTATTATTACATACATATACATATATATACATACATATATTATATATATTGTAACAATGTTATTCAACTATGTTCTTTTGTAAACTTTTGACTCTACTATAAATTATATTCACAGTCTCCTTCTGTATTTTAAAGAAAATAACAAATACAAATGGTAAATCTACAGTCTGGTCAAAAGACCATGTTGGTCGCTAATCCTTTATCTTGCAAAGAAATTTCAAATGCTCCATCTCACACACACACACACACACACACACACAGCTGTCGTGTTTTCTTTCTTTGGATTTTTTTTTTATTCTTGTATTTCTACATACATATTATTTTATTGTGCACACATATTATTATTGTTAGTCATTCTGTTTTATTTGGTTATATTTACAAAAATTTTACTACAACACATTACACACACACACATATTATAATGCATATTACACACATTTTCACCCCCAGTCTCGATGGGTCAAGACCTGTTCACAGATTCTCCAAAAAAAAAAAAAAAAAAAATGTTCATTAAAAACTTCGTTTTCAGAGCTATTCGATGCTGTCAACAGAGAATACTATTCTCTGTTCTTGTGAGCTATTGTTACAACACTGCATTGTGAACAGCCCAGTGGGGTTAATGAGACTCTACTAACCCCCAGGTATGGGCTCTCTGAGCTGTTCCGCATGGGTATCACACTGTACCAACCTGAACCAGAATTTTTCAAACAATTGACGACAACATGTTCTTTCATCACTCATCCCAGTCCTTTCACACACTTAATGATGCATGTCATTAAAATTTCCTGAAACAACACAGTCTCAGAAATGGGTCTCATTCAGTCTCTCATTGGGTTCCCAAATCCACAAGCACATGTACTGTATACCTCGATAATCGACGCCAACACTTTCACGCTTCTGACAGCGGCCTGTCAGTGTTGTTCAAACTTGAATCCTGTCCGTGATTTTGCTGCACAATTGTTATCTCAAGAAGAGAGAAATGAACAGCAGTTCTGGTCGTTTTCAAAAAACACTGATGATTGTTGTTGCTTCCCAGCTGGCTGAGAACATCACTGTATACTTGTGTGCAATCAGGCCTAAAATGCTCCAGTGAGGTTTCTGTCAACCCATAAATGATGGCTAGTATTACTAGAGTATATTATCTTAATGGGGGTAGTGTGGTCTAATCAGGTTTGATATGCTTCAATGAGGCCTATAGATATGGAGATGACACTTTGATGACTGGCCATTGCCACAGTCGTGTCGTTTTATTATTAATAAACAGTATTCTCGTGATGATCAGCCAGAAAGAAGAGGAGAAAACAGGTGTAGAGGAGAGAAGTTAATAAGAGAGAAACAACAATGATATGAGGCGCGCCATATATTGTTATTCTTCAGCTGATATGATTCACCACCACAGTCACGCCAGGTCCTGCACCAGTTTCTGGTGTTTTGAAAACATTTTCATTGAACCTTTCACAACATTTCTATTTTTCTTCTTTTCAAATTTTGTATTGTATCTGTCTCTCTATCCCTGCTGGAGGGCCAAAATAGGCCAGTACTTAAATAATGTAGGTCACAATTTCACAAACACAAATCAGGATAATGAAGGATTAGCTGGCAACACGACAGGTGACCGCTGTCAATGTCTCTCTACCTTCTTTCGCATAGAGAGTGAAGAATTACATTGTTCTCAGTCTGGGTGGTGTATGTGCAATTCTTACCTTGACTCGGTTAGCAGATGCATTGCTTAACTGTGCTGGTCACTAATCCTTCAGGTGGTCTCCTGAATCTGGGTGGTAGGTGAGTTAACGCTGGGTTACTAATCTGGTGTTGGGTGGGGTAAGGGCTGCTGGGGCCGGGCTGTCGGACTGTTGCCATACCCTGATGGTTTCTGTGGCTGGCACTAAACTCCCAAATTTGTTATATTCTATGGTATTAATTGTTTTAAAATCATTGATTCAGTCTTATCCGTGTGACTTTTCACAACTACATGTGTAAGTTATCGGGGTATACTCTGTACAGCATGCCATGTACAGAGTGCTTAGTATTCATCAGTAACCTTTATGGGTGCTGTCAGAAGAGATAGTGCAGAGAAACTTTGTGTGGCACTGAGGTTTTGTAGTTGGTTTATATTCCTTACTGAATCTTTTATTTAGCCTCATTTGTTATATACAGTTTAATTTTTCATTCTCCATTATACAGTACAGTTGCTACCCCTTATTGATTTCGGGGTTAAGGACCCAAATCCAGGTCGGAAGTTGGAAAATGCTAAATAATACACAGAAAATCTAAAATGGGTGTCTTTTTCTTCTCAGCACCACAAAACTCTCACTTTTAAGCTTGCCAGACATTTTAAAGGAATTACAAAACGAAAATTTTGTCAGCACATTGCAAGAATCACTGACGTTGGAACTCTAAAATATGTAATTAACAAAATTTGGCACGACTGGAGAAGTGTCGATTTTGGTGGTCGTAAGTTGAGTAGGTCATAATAAGTGGGGGTAGCTGTATCTGGTTGACTTTAGATATGAATCCTTTGATATAGTTTAGTATATATAAATTAAGGATTAATCTTAAAAATCAATGATCCCGATTTAGGTTTATTGTGTTCAGGAGGTCTGAGGGCTGCTTGATGTAGATTTGAAAGATAGCTGATAATATATACGGAGGAAATCTGCTGTAACACTCGGTTTTTTTATCTTTCAGATTTGAATGTTACTTCTACCTCTTAGGACCCATTTCTGAGGGCTTGTGTTGTTGTGACTGGAGAGTTCTGTACTGTAATTTTATTAATGACAGCCATCATTATCATGGATTAGCCTGGGCTACAAACCCACAGACTTTAAGGTTACACTTAGATGAGTCCTTATCCTAACTTGCATATTATCATTACAGTATACTGTATATATTGCACAACTTTCCTTTTACCAGGGATGGAACCTTGAGACTTTGGAATTATGTGAAAGGAGAGTGTGTGGCCTGCATGTATGCTAGAGAACACACTCACCCCTACTACATCACTATGAAAAAGTATATACAGCAGAAAATTGAAGAATCTGAAGAGGCTAGAAGATTTCTACCTGACTACCCAGCTGTCAAAAGCTTTTCATTTTATACTCACAGATTCCAGTGATGTGAACATCTTTTAGTTGCTTTAGTAGACAGGTTGCACTGTAGTTAGACTGCATGTGATATGGCAAATCATATGAAGAGGACTGGGGTAAACTAGACAGATTCCAGATTGGATATCTGTATTGGG